AAAATCGGGGCAGCGTACTTTGAACGCAGAGTATTGCTTACATTTCGAGTGAAAAAAAACAAAACAACGTCAGGTGCTTTTGAACTACATGCGGTTGGCACAGTAACGGGCAATGACCTCAGCGGTTCACACGCAATGAAATTCTAATCAAGCCAGCTAGCGTTATCGTACGGTATCATAAACTCAATAATTATTCATTCAAAATGCCTTTCACACTCACGAGTACCATGGAACACGAACATGTAACAGAAAAATAACGTTTTGTTTAAAAAAGATTCTGTCAACCAAGATGTCATTGTCAGTGCAATGCAGACAGCCTGACCTGTTTTGATTAGTTCGCCCGTTTCTCGTTTGCTGGCCATTTTTTCTGGAGTGTGACACAAATGGTGAACATGATACTGCCAAATCAATCAAGAACCAGGATACGGCTTGGATACGCTGAAACTTTGTAAATCGTCCTCTTTTCAATTGTAAACTTTATTCCAGTGTAATAAAGGTATACCTACATGTACCATGAAAAATTGTATCGCATCACTTTGGAAATTTACGCTAAATACATGTACTAAATACGAAACAAGCGCACATATCGTATTCATTTACAGCATCGGATTTCAAAACAATGACTCGTGAAATCACAAAGAAACTGTTAAGTACGTATTTCACACATTACCGAGGACCGCGGTAGAGACCGGTACAGCGGTAGAGACCCCTAATTATAAGCAGTCCGCGGCTCTCCCCGGCGTTCTGCGGTACACCGCGGTAATGACCACGGTGCACCGCCCGTTTGATTTCCTACTCTTCCCTAATAAACCTTGATTAGTACTTACAGCTACTAGACCTGCTCCTACACCATCGACAATTGCACCTATAAAAGCCATTGCAATTCCAATGCATGTCAAAATAACGCCAGCTATCATCCAACCTCTGCCAGCTGCTTTTAAGTACACGCCTGCCATGGAAACAACTGCTCCAATAATTAACTGGAAAAAAAATGAAAATCAGATAATCATCTAAAGGCGAAAATATTATCAATCAAGCTGTAAATTGCATTACTGCTGAGTTGTAGTGGAGGTTCACTTCAACAACTATTTTGCAATTCATGGTTTATCATTTAATCTGCATACATGCAAATCAGCCACAAGAAATCACATTTAAATGTAATCTAATCACATGGCTACTCACAGCCAATCAAGATGTATGTGGGATAGGTTGAATAACAAACTGCAGTCAGAGACAATGTTACATAAATTTAATAATAGCTACGGAGTATTACTTACCGGTACAACTATTGCTGGCCAAAAGCATAAATGTAATGACAGCTAGGGAGTACTACTTACAACTATTGCTGGCCAAAAGCATAAATGTAACAAGTCATTAGAAATGACACAGTCCCCGTTAAATTTTTGAAAGTTCTCTTTGTGCTCGTCATATTAAAGCGGAGCGGTTGTCGCAAGCGTGTCCTTGAAACTTGAGTTCCAAGTGGCGTATACAACAAATTGGTTATTTACATCAAAACACATGTTCCTTGTAGTAGTAATATGGCCAAAAATAAAAACAGCCGTTATTCGGCCATCTTTGATCTGATTATGAAACACACTGATATGTATGATGTATGTGCCAAATACGAATAAAAATAGTACATAAATTGTGGAAATATAGTAGTAAGACCAAAAAGTCAGATGGCTGTCAATCGGCCATCCTTGGCCAGATTTTGAAACAAATTGTCATGGACATGCATCCTAACATGTATAAAGTACATGTATGTGCCAAATTTGAATGAAAACTGACAGAGCACATTCAAGATACCGCATAAAAAAAACAAAAAACAAGATGCCTCCCAGTCGGCCATCTTTGATCCAATTGCGAAATAAATCATCATGGACATGTATCCTAACATGTATAATCTATGTACCAAGTTTAAATGACAACTGACAAAGCATGTCCAAAATACAACATTTTCAAAAAACAAAATGGCTGCCAGTCGGCCATCTTTGATCCAATTGTGAAATAAATCGTCATGGACATGTATCCTAACATGTATAATCTATGTACCAAGTTTGAATGAAAACTGACAAAGCATGTCCAAAATACAACATTTTCAAAAAACAAGATGGCTGCCAGTCGGCCATTTTGAATCGAATCGCCAAACCACTGCATGTGCATATGTCCCACATAAGGTACTAGGCACATGCAAAGAATGAACGGGATCGGTCCAAGGGATTCTGAGATATGACTTCGAACAGGCGCACGGACGCACAGAGACCGAATTATAAGTCCCCATTTTCGGACTTCGTCCGAACGGGGACTAATAACAGCTACGGAGTATTACTTACAACTATTGCTGGCCAAAATGCACCAATTCGTATATTTTCAACCATTGTATAAATTTTAATTCCAATAGCAAATGTGACAATGGAAATAAGTATTTGACAAATACATGATACCATTGCATTGCGTTGTTTCTCCTCATACTCTGTATTAAATGAATGAAAAAGAAAAAAAGAAAGAAAGAAATTATACAATCAATTGAATTCATGTGATTAAGTAATTTGACTAGTTAATTGATCAATTGATTTATTAATAACAAATAAACAAATAATTGAGAATACCACAATTAATATGAATTACTGATTGAAATAATTTTGCTAGTGGTATCTACTAATATATAAACTTGCCTTTACAATGTTGCTGTACTATGTTAGGCTGTAACACAGTTTGCCCTTCCATTGTCTTGTCAAGTAAAACAAACCAAGGCACAGCCTGAAAAACAAGAAGGAAATTAATTGATAATATAATTGGTGATGGAATAGTATACCATTCCCTTTATTCTCATCACATGCAATAATTTTTAAAGTATGTACTGTAAAATCTCAACTTTACGTTGGGCTCCACCTTCAACAGACGCATTAATTAGAATAATAAGTATCTCATTGCAGAATGGGAAAGACATAGTTGCATGTAATATGTAGCTGGACTATCATGTTTGATATTTAGATTGTCAGGAAATTACTTTTCTTATGAGAAAGAAGTAGCACAGGAGAAGAAGCCGTGTACATTTATATTTCTTGTGTGCTGCTGAGTATGGACAGTAAAATCATGCTAACCAGATCAGATAAGAAATCTTTGTTTCAAACACAGAGCAAAATCTCCTTATGAATGAAACGGATAAGGGACTTTAAAATAAATTGGGGTGAACAGAAAAGTCAGTTTCTATTTACTATTTATATTTACAAGTTAGTGAATTCTTGAAAACATTGTATGGAAAATGCAATCAAAAAGTTCTGAAAATACATGTATACATAGTCAACCCTTAAACTGTTTTATGAAATAATGTTGCCCACTATTTATCCAACCTCCTTGCTGTGATGGAAGAGTACATACATACATGTGATCACACATTAAGCATGGTCATATTCAAATTACCAAAACACTAAACTAAAATTATTTTAATGTATGCAAGGATGTTATTAATCAAACAAATTAATTAATTGTAATAGAGTAGGGGCATTACTATGATATATTAGTATGTGACACACAATGCATAGGCCACTGTATTTTAAACATGTGGCAGCCTAGGAAATAACAATTTTCCAAAGAAAAGTTGTCATTTTGCTAGTTTTAAAATATTGTTATCATTGAAATTACTAACGTGTCAAATTTGTGAATAGTGACATAGTGTGAAAAAAAATATAAATATTTATAATAATTATTGTCAACATATATAATAAATTAATAGGAAACTTGATTTCAACTGACTAATTATTTTTTATGACAAGATTCTCATATTTGAATTATGGTACTTGGTAGTGAGGCTTTTAACACAGTGACTGCCAGTAATACATGAATATGTCTTACACATTTGCATGGCAGCTCACTTTTGATTGAAGAGCAACACCACAGCATGCATGTTTGTAGCAAGTATACATGTAGATGTTTTAAAGAACACCACAGCATGCATGTTTGTAGCAAGTATACATGTAGATGTTTTAAAGAACACCACAGCATGCATGTTTGTAGCAAGTATACATGTAGATGTTTTAAAGAACACCACAGCATGCATGTTTGTAGCAAGTATACATGTAGATGTTTTAAAGAGCAACACAGAAGAGGTTACAATAAATTATTTGTGAGTTCTACTTTTCTTGCTCTCAATGAAGCTGATGATAGTGCATGTATGTGTAAAAATGTCAAACTTGATTAATCTCAACAGAAATATACATAATACTTATGTGTTGAATACAATGTTGGCGATACAACTTTATATAGTGAATTATCACATGTCCATAATGCACACCAATGTTATTCATTTACTGTGGAATATCCCTGTAGATATCAGTATAGAAAACATTGTGATATTCACATCACAGATCATCATTTAAAGTTCAAACATGATGTAGAGAGAAACAAGGCAAAAGGTAATATGATAAAGACAACAGTGATAACCTCATGGTATCACTCATATAAAAAAAGACAACAAAATATCATTTGTTAGAGTATAGTACACATGTATATATGTATGTATAAAAGCTTCATAAGAAATACCAACTTTAATCACAAAACTCATAATAATGTTTGTGTTACAGCAAGTCAAGGGAACAGCCACTACGCCTGTTACAGCTGGTGGTGGTGAAATATATGTAGCTTTTATAGGCAGCAGTTTTAGCAGATAATAAGGCCACTAAAATCAAGGCCACAAATTTCAAAGGCAACTGAGGTGGTACAGGTACGCAATAGGTTTGCTACACTTAGAACGGGACCTAGTAATGTTTTGATACTCAATATTGAATGTTAAGTAGGCTAAATACATGTATAACTGAGAATAGTAAAACAGCATTTGGGCATTGGTGACCAAACTATCCACTTATCTTGACAGCTGGCAATTTTTTTACAAGTGAATCACAAGTTAAATATACTAGAATTTAATCCAGGAAAAGCATTTAAAAAGACACTCCTGCATACATGAATGTAATTACAAGACATACAATTGGTGAGCACTGTGATTGCTTTTAAACGCATACACTATACCAATGCTGATATACATGTACCGGTACTACATGTATGTAAAGTGTCTTGCCCACACACAACACCATGGTACTAGCGAGCTTCAAATCAACAACCCCCTCATTCCAGTCATATCATGATGTCTCCTTTACATACATCTTTATATTACATACATTTAAAAATTATGCAACCATACAAATCAATAATAATTTGACATGCCCCAAATAATCATACATGTTTCTTTGGGCACTATTTGTAACTGTTAATTGCATTTCAAAAGAATTATTGTGAACTTTCCGAATAAGGAAAAATGAAGTAGTGAAAATAGCACTCATTCACAGTAAATATGGTAATAAAGAAATTACCTCGACACATATGTACATCTTGATATCTCAGAGGAGGGTTCACCCAACGAGTTAAAATGTAAATGGTAATTCAGTTTAAAAGCACTGTTAAATAGCACTCACCTACTGTAGTATAATTTGAATTTTTGAGAAAAATA